CCTGTCAACCAATCAGCCTTTCTTAGATGTTCCTAAGATCCGGGTTAAATTCAGAGGTGATCATCGTTTTGCTTTTTGTACTTTTAACATTTTTACAGTTTCTTGTACAATCGCTAAGACTGTCAAGATTATTTCTATTTGGTGTTTTATTCAAACAGAATATGAGTTTTTTCTTATGACTGTAATTATGGAGTATATCCATACCTATGTCTATTTTTATACTTGTAGTTATTCAATTAATTTTCAATTAATTTTATTCATATAGCGCCAATTGACAACACATGTCATCTCCAGGCACTGTACAGTTTGCCAGATCATACAGATTGATTCAAAGCTTTCTATCTTAGGAAAACCAGTTGATTGCATTGACTCATTGACTCAAAGGCAATCCCTCACAGCATGCTTGTAGTGACAGTGGAGAGGAAAAACTCCCTTTTAACAGGAAGAAACCTCCAGCAGAACCAGGCTCAGTGGGAGCGGCCATCTGCTGAGGCCGACTGGGGTTCAAGGAGACAGAAGCAGAGACACAAAAAGCAGCTGTAAAAGGCGGCCCCGTCCAGGAAACACACAGCCAAGCAGAGGAGCTCCAAGCCAACTACCATGTCACAAGATGAAGAGAGCGCGTCCAACCAGTCACGGTCAGAGAAACAGGACTACACTGAAAAAGAGGCTGATCTCGAACATCTATAAACAAAAGTGTTGATGGCAGCAGCACAGCCGATATTTCTCTCCAGGATGGAGTCACAGTCAAACAGGAACAGCAAAGTGCTCTGCTCTGCTTATCTGGTTTAATTTCAGTCAAAGTGCCAACTTTCATAAGGTGCCAACGGATCGATGGGTTCTCCCCTCGTAAAGCAATAAACAAACACAGACAACACATTTGCTTGAAGTGATTAAATAGGTTTATTTGATTTACAGACATTTTTTTAAACATTTTTTTTCCTTTTATCAACAAGTCACCAAATGCACTGTCTTGCTACCCCTCCTGACGAGACCATCACAGTTCATTTTCCAAAAGTAAATCCTCTGATTACTCTGACGCTTAGCTCTACAGACTAAAAACAAAAATAAAATCTGTTTTCTGCTCAAGGTCAGAAATACATCTCTTTGTACAGGATTCTTGTATAACAAGAAAGAGCAAATACTTAATGCATCACCTCAGTGATCATTAATTTAGCATAAGTCGTTGCAACAGGCTATAAAATTGGTGCTAAATCAACTCAGTTTTGGCAAAGTGAAACTCGGTTCCTGAGCCGTTCCTTCTACGCACGGCGGCTCAAAGTTAGCACTTACTGTGGATATGAAGACGTCCCCCTGTGACAGAGGTTTGTAAAGACGATGCCAGGATGTGGTTCAAACAATTCCCTGAACATTAAAGTGTGCAAAACGGTTTGATCAGTTCATCTAACAGAAAAAGGAAACACTACAAACATGAATTTAAAAGCATTGCCTGCTTCCGTCAGGCTGCTTAAAACAAAAGGCTCACATTGAGTTTTGTTCTGTTTATATATGAGATGTCTGATTAATGATCACAGTTAACAGGATGATCCTTAGTGATGAGTGAAGGTACTGTGTTGATTAATAGTGATACACATAAGGTGAACTACTTGGCATTTAAAAAAACAAAAATGACACAAAAAGTGTTGTATATTCAAAACCATACATTTCCCTTTACAGAATATTCTTCATTATGGAAACAAATAAATACATTGCATTCAGGCCATCATTTATACAATATATTAAAGTTACTGCATGATATAGCTTTCTCTCTTACTATATATATATATATATATATATATATTTATCTGTTGTAGTTGTTAAAAAAACGTATTTGGTAACATCAAAAAGACAAGAAATCGTATAAACGTAAGAACGTGAGAAGCTTAGTTCATTAAGAAGATGAAGGTGTGTAAACACGGCAGGCTGGACACAATCACATTCAGAGAGCTCCACGCAGCTGGAGAGAAACTAAAGCTAATGATCCGATCCACACGGCAGCCCACGCGTGGTCAGACAGTCACGCATCACCACGGAAACCCCGGCCCATCCTTTTCCTGTTTTCTCCAAAGGGTCTTTGACTCTATGTGAAAGTTTTGAAGCGTTGGAGGGAAACGGTTCCCATCTTTGATTAACGGTGTGATCTTCAAAATATATCAAGTCCTCACAGATACATTTAGGGTCAAATTCAGTTAATATAATGAGAAAATAAAAGTGTATAAATTAGAGATGCACTGATCAGAATTTTTGCAGACCGATTCCCAATTATGGTTATTGTTTTTCTTTGAGGGTTAAAACTTGAGGATTTGTATGATTACTGTGAAACAGCACTGAATGGGATTTTTAAAATCAGATTTTTTTTTTTTTATATCTCAGGTAGTGCAGTAGTAAAATAGCTCTCAAACCCTGAACCTTGCCTCAACTCTGGTATCTTTAAACATACATACTGGTAGGTAGTCATATTATTTGACATGTTTTGAGCTGATCAGTCAAATTTCTGTGGATCCTATTTTAAATCAACCAAATTTTTAGGATCCATCTCCAGTTTAAACAGCCGTTTTTTCATCTGCAAACGTTTGGATCCTTCTGCATTTAGAAATAAATCGATTCTATCAAATATCGAGATATTTCATTTTAATATATTTATACTGATTCAAAAATACAAGTTTCTTTAAAAAGTTAGTGTTGATTCAAAAAACGACCGAATGGATTTGGAAGGTAAGATATATTCATATGTAAACTTCTATGTCATTGTCGTTCTTTTAAATACCTGTTTAACTTCCTACCAGTAGTTGGCAGCAAATCGTCCAATAACCTGTTAATCAGCTGCTCCAGGAGCAGCGAAAAACAAGACCTTGTAAGGTTTTCTAGAGCTATATTAGTACAAAAAAAATCACAATATATCATCTTTGTCAATATATCAGGATCAATTGTGTGGTGACACATTTATCGTGTTTTATATCGTATCGAAAAATGATTCCCTCCTATTCTGCAGAGGGAGTTTGGAGTTGGCCTGGATTTTAACTCCAGTGAAGACATTTGATCTGTGGAAGCTTCCAAACACAAAAACCAAGATGCAAATCTGACCTGATGCTGAAGGTCTTCCTGTCTCTGTATCGGATGTTTGATTCCAATCACTAATTATTATAATGGTTATCTCGCCAGCAAAGGTTCTCTCTGCAGAAATGGGGGATCATATATCTAGAGGTGCATTATGGGGGGGGGATCTCCGTTCACAATGCCTGTTATTGTAACTCTCCAGGACTGGATTGGAGCCCTTCATTAAAAGCCACGGCGTCCATGTATGGCTGCCTTTTGTGTCCAGAAACTCAAAACCAACCATCAGAAAGCTCCCCCAATCTAAAGGGAAAGCAGCTTGCTGATAAGGCAGTAAGAAGAGAAAACGCTTGGTTTGGTTTTCTCTGAAAAAAACCACCAAAAACCGTTTTTGTATTGCTTCTCGTCTACATGAAACACGGGCGTCCCTCAGTTCAAGTCCAAAGAGTAGCTTTCCATTTTCTTTTGGGAATAGCATATATAAACAGGAAAACAATAAATTACAAAAAAACAAACTTAAAATCCAGTGTCTGCTTCAGGTCACCCGAACAGCATCATGATCCTTCTGAAATCGGCAGCAACCTCCAGTATTACACTTCAACATTACACTAACACACACAGGAGGAAAAAAGAATAACAGCTAAAAAAAAGAAATAATAATAATGTGCAGAAAGCTCTCACATCCATCAAGTTCTCTGGCACCGTCTGCACTCGTTTAAGTGCTAAAAGCTCAAAGGAAAATATGTACGAGGGCAGGGACTCAAAGGAAACATCTGCAGGTGGTCGAAAGCTTCTGTTCTTAAGGCTGATTCACTGACCTCTAAACAGTAACACTTTTTTTGGCTCTTAGCGACTGTTATGTTTACATGCACGGCTTAATTAATCAGGAGAACACTGCATTTATCTCTAACAGGAACTGTTATGTTAATACTGTGATTAAGGGGGGCAGAATAGCATTAAAGCCACGTTCAGTCAAATAAAGTCGTCTAACTAATCGCAAACGGAGTGAGTTTAAAGGAAAGTCTGGATAACTGATAGAAACTTGAAGAGTTTTGCCTGGAAAAGGTGTCGGGTGCATGTAAACATAGTCACTGAGGAAGTCAGGATGAGTGTTGGCGGTCAGTGCAAAGTCTATAGGAATGTAATGAGGCTATGGCACTTGGTGCAGACTAACAGCCGATGGAGGGGGGGAGTGCAGACGGACAAACAAGAGACATACTGTTGGGTGAGCAAGCAGGCAGGCAGGCAGGTAGGCAGCAGGCAGGCAGAACGACAGGGCAGGTTCATGGTCAGCATTCAGTAGTATGGCATCAAAAGCCAGGAGGGCTGTGGACGTCGCCTCCCTGGAAGGTTCAGTGGCTCCTCGCAGACTGTAGCTGAGATGCTCTCTGTCCCACAGAGAGCAACTTCCTCGCCAGAGGGTTCAATGAGGAGCAAGACGCTCCCTCTTTCCAGTTCTGAGTTGCCTCCACTAGAGGGTAAATCCCCCATAAACGTAGGAGCAGCAGGAGCCGATAGGAGCGGGAGGATTGTAGAGGACGGACAATGGAAGGCTTCCTTTTCTTTCCTTTAGACGTCTGTGCAGATAGGTCCTCGCCTGGTAATCACCTGAGGAGAGAAAAAAGAACAGTCTGAGCTCTTCCAGCCTGGAATTACAATGGGACATTTTCATGTAATTAACGTCAAGGGCAACAGTTCTTGGACCATCTGGCAGGACCTTCCTGAAAATGCCTACCCACTATGACCAGACTGTGAACTAAATATATACCAGTCACTTATAGAAAGGCTCTCCACTGTGTACAGGACAAGAAAAAAATAAGAAAAAAAATCCTGTTGGCTTTGTGTCCAATTATAAACCATTCTGTCTTGATTTATCCATAGATTTTAGACATGATCCTGGTAAAAAATCTATAACAAAAACAGCCTTTCAGTTCCACCGACTGTGTTATTCAGACGGGGTTAATTGGCCTCACCAGAGGGAGATTAGTGTATATTCATAAGCAGAGTGTTTGCAGGCCGCAGTCTTTTCCTCAGTTAATAGCCTCTGTTATGGCTGCATTGTTTAGGGAGCGATGCTTTAATGTAGAGACAATCAGAGCTGCAAACGCTGCTTTGATTAGTGCAAAAAGCTGCGGTCCTCCTAATAGCTCCGCCGTGACTGCGTTGGGGGAATGTTGGCTTTATGACATAGGCGGGGGGTGGGGGGTTGGGGATTGGGGGGGGGGTGCTGATTGGCCTGGCAGCCCAGCAGAGTCTAATCAGACCAAAACCAGAGGGTCTAAATCATGACAAGGTCGGCAAAGCTTCGACATTTCGAGAACGGACAGAGAGATCAAAAGACATCCATGTTCATCACATGGTGAAGCAAAGTGCCTTTCTGTTCCTGGCTTTACACTTTGAGTAGGAGTGTGTGCGGCTGTGGCACCGGGAGCCCACTCAGCACTGCTGACAGACGACCTGGAGCTTTTGATAAATGATAACAGTGCAAAGCAGGAAAGTTCGCGCCTGCAGCTGTAAAAACAATCCACACTGTAAAAGTTTTTCTTGATGATGTGTATTTTTCCCTCATGGTGCAAAACGGGATATTAGTTACTAAATAAATGAGAGTGGAGTTCTGCTGTCAGATCTCCTGCTGATGTTTGGACAGCAGCAGGCCTGGGGATGCCCTCGCGCTCATCCTGCGGTGCAGGAGGAGGACAGGATGAGCGGGAGGACGTGGTCAGAAGAGGCAGCAGAGGAAGTTAATTAGATCTCAGTGAAGCCGATCTGTGCCTACGTTCGCCTCGCTGGAGATTAATGGATAATATCTTAAGCGATTACTTCTTCTCTTCATCTTCATTTTTTTTAAATTGCGATGTCTTTTCTCTTCTCTGCCAACTTGCTCTGATTCCCTTGGGCTTCCTGTCAGAAATAACAGCTGGTTTGGTGTCTTTCCTCCTTTAAAATAAAGTGGCAGCAGATCCAAGGTTTTCTCTAACTAAGGTTTACAAATATTTAAACCCATGAACCCAAAAAACAACAACTCAACAGACTTTATTAATTATCTATAAGTATAAATTAAATTCGCTTTTAAATACATTCATTAAAAAAATAAATGTCATTATATATTTCATCATTTTAAATGTATTCTTAACTATTTAATCTGACATTTATTTGTTTAATGGTGCATTTTACAACCTAATGTATATCTAATAGTTCAAATCAGTATTGTATAAATCAGTCTATCAATCAATGTTAGATCTGCCTTAAGGAACATTTTAAATTATGAGTTTATAAGTTGCTCAACTATAAATCGCTCTCAATCTGCAGGTTTACTAGTGGTTCCTAGAATTTCTAAAAGTAGAATGGGAGGCAGATCTTTTAGTTATCAGGCTCCTCTCCTGTGGAACCAACTACCAGTTTTAGTCCGTGAGGCAGACACCCTGTCTACTTTTAAGGCTAGGCTTAAAACTTTCTTTTTGATAAAGCTTATAGTTAGAGTGGCTCAGGTTATCCTGAGCTATCTCTATAGTTATGCTGCTATAGGCTTAGACTTCTGGAGGACATAGGGACCCCTTTTTCATCATCCAGCTTCCTTCTATCTTTATACTCCTACCCTGCAGAATCTGTTAGTTCAATCTCTAACACTGTCGCTACAAGCATGCTTAGTCAATGTGTCAGTAAATAAATAAAAGTTTAAATAGTTTATAATAGTTTTATGGCCCTAATTGAATGGAAGATTTATGTATTTCATAATGTATTTTCTCCCCAGCTTAATATGATGCCTCAGGAACATCAAATCAAGGTAGGCATACACTGTGCACACTTTCATATATTTATGTTTTTTCCAAACAGTAAAAAAAAAAAAAAAACTAAAAGCATTTTGACAAATTTTAGTTCGGTTGATTCAAATTTTACAGTTTCCATAAGGCTCTTCCAAAGCGAAACTACAAAATGTGCTAAAAAAACGGTTGATGGAAAAAGGATAGTGAAAACCATCTTAGGACCCCCCACTTAGTGTCTCACAACCCCCACAGGTGGCCAAGACCCCTACTTTGAGAACCCCTGCACCAACTCTCCAACTTCTGCTCCTTAAGTCTCAGAGGAAAGTTGCTCCAACTTAAATTAACAATCAGTGTCTGATTAATGTGCTGATCTATGGGATGGAGAAATTCCCTCTAGCTGCAATTCTTTATATTTTCAGATTAAAATCAGCTGTGATTCCTCTGCAGAAAAGAGCGGTTAAACTCTGAGGGGGTGTAGCAGCGATCGGTGCTCTCCATAATTAGCAGCCTTTAGACGGGGGGAGACAGGCTGTGTGTGTTTCTATTGGAGCCAGGCTCTGAAACATGATACATCGCCAGCCTTTCCTGTCACCTGTGATTAGCTTCAGCCTGCCAACATCAACCTGTAATGTCAGTGCTTGTAGTAAAGCCATAGATTTAACTTTCACCAGTTCTCTTTAAGTTTAATTAAAGTTCAGCTGGATTTTCTGTAGATTGTTCAGATTACTAACAAGACAAAAGATTTCAGGAGGAAAACACCAATCCTTATATTTTAGGATTAAATGTAACCCCCACCCATGGTGAGGGCTTTGATACCCAAGTTTAACTGTTTCTAATGTGTCCTACCTGCTGTTTAAAAAAATAACATATGAGTTACAGCAACATTTTATTTCCCTTTGGGATTAATAAAGTGTTTTTGATGCCTTGACAAATGACAGAGCGTGTATTAACAATCACCAAAAGTCAGAACTGCTACGTTTTTCTATATCCCATGAACTATCATTTATTAAATGTTCATATCATCTATTGTGTTTAAACTCAGCAGAAAGAAGACTAATCTTATGTTATCTGCCCCTTTAAAATAAATTGACAAAGAACTTAACAGTAATGAAATTAAAGAAATTAAATTACTCAAAATAAACATAAAACCTAAGGCAATGAAACAAAGTATTAAAATTTGAGATGATTATTAACTTCGAAATACAATTTAGGCATAACTGACACATTTATTCAGCATGCTAGGTCTTGTTGTTGTTTTAAATGCAAGTTGAAAAGTGATTCTTTGAATTTCTTTGTTAATATTTTTCTAAAAACTAATTTCTTTCACAAAAAACAACTCCATCACTTTGGTTTATTTTTATTTATGTTCTTACATTAGCTCTTCAGTTCCTTTTTAATAAAAATCCCTTTGTTTGTTTTAATTTTCTTAATATTTATTGGTAATTATAGCTTTAGCAACTCTGTAACTTTTCTAAGTTGCAGACTTTTCCTCTTCAAATGAATTTGCAGAAGGTCTTTAATGGAGACACTTAACTGTGACAGACGACTGATCATTTTCCAGGTTTTTCAACCTTTTATAGAGCACACAAAAACTTAAATAAAGCTTCAATAAAATAAAATGAATCTACTGTGAATATTTTTGCAAGTTCCTATAAAGTTCCTAAGTCACTGCATCATATTTGTAATTCTGTCCCTAAATAGCACCCATAGTACATCCCTAATCTTTAAGGAAAATCATCCCTGCTATTTTTCTTTGTCCTCTTTTTAAAACTGCCTGTTTTATTTGTTTTAAAGATGCACAGAAGAAATTTAGATTTATCTATTTTATTCATCATCTTTAAAATTGGTTAATTATTCAAAAATTCTTTCTTCTTTTTCTATGTCTGCTTCTGTCTCCTTGAACCCCAGTCGGCCTCAGCAGATGGCCGCTCAGACTGAGCCTGGTTCTGCTGGAGGTTTGTTCCTGTTGAAAGGGAGTTTTTCCTCTCCACTGTCGCCACAAGCATGCTTAGTGTGAGCCTTCGAGTAAATGAATCGACGCAATCAAGTGTTTTTTTCTTAGATAGAAAAATTGTAATCAATCTGACTGTATGATATGGTGAATTGTAAAGTGCCTTGAGATGACATGTGTTGTGAATCGGCGCTATAGAAATAAACTGAATTGAAATTGAAATAAATGGTGCTTTTACTTTTTAAATGCTGCCTTTGATGTTTGATAGGTTGACAGTGGAGGAAAAAAAGTTATGGAATAATAAAGGAGTGAGGGAAAAGGATCTAAGAGTTACCTGGAAGGCTGCTGCATATTTCAAAATCTCAGTCATAGTTGATGGTAGTCAGCGAGATCGCAGCTTGACCTCACACCTCCTTGATATTTTTCCACCCTGTCGGCTCTGGCTCTCTCCATATTATGTGAAGATGTGATGTTGGCACATGATCACTCCTCTCTCCTGACCTGAACTTTGTCTATCCTGCCAGTTTTCCAGTACACACCTCTGTTTTCTGGCTCTGATCGGTTAATGTCATTTTATCGTTTAAAGAAAAAAGATAACGTATTGTCAAAGGGGTTAAAGTGGTTTCTTCCTTACTTTTTTATTGAGCTATTAGGATTAAATAAATCTTTTCATTTGCTTTGTAAATCTACCCTCTCTTACTAAGCTAATGGGACAAACCTCAACGTGTACACATGACCTACCTGTTTTTTTTTCACCTTTGTGTGCTTACAGTATTTCAACCAATAGACTGCGACAGGTTCATAAAGAAAAGCAGCAAAGCCTTGACATTTGCTCTGAGCACGATAACCTTAACAAATAAGTCACAACAGATTCCTTGTCCTCCTTATCAGGAGTCAAAGTTTATCCTTGTTATTCTTTAGTGTCTACTACAGTAGCTCCCCATTGTATAGAGCGCTAGCTGGTGTGCTGCCAATAATTGTGTTTTTGGTCTGGGTTAATAAGTCCGGAGCTTGTGTGCGGGTCTGATAAAGGCAGGAAGAGAGGAAAAGCAGCTCAGGTTGTGATAAGATGGCATATAGCCCGTCGACTCTGTGGACCTTCCTGGGGAAAATATGATGGGAAACGGCTCATTTTTGCCTAATCGTGTTTATCACCTCCACGGGCGAGACGTTCCAACCCTGGTCAAAGCATTTTTTTGTTTAAGTTCTGAAGGATTTTGTTTAAGTTGTAATAAAAACGGAGGGTCCTGTGGTGCGTGTTAGGTAACAAGCAGAGAGTTCTCTAAATGCTAATAGTCCAGGTTTATCTCTGCACTATAAATCGCTCAAACTGCCTGACAAATTAAAAAGCACTAAAGGTTTAAGTGCCTTTTGGCATAGAAGAAGTTTACCTGGTCATACCTTGACTGAAGAAGGTGGAGGTTGTAGCATCAACTTCTTTAGCCTGAAAAGATAAAACAGGTTTAAGCATTCATGGAAGCACTGAACCCTCCCAAACCCAATTGCTTTGCATTCCTTCCAAAAAAGCATTAACAGTCCTATCTCCATTAAGCTTTTTCAATCCAAAATGTCGACACACGGCAGCTACCATTATCGTTGTTTGAGAAAGTAAGGCACTAGGGTTTAGTGTTGCTTTGAGAGAAATACCCCCATTTCCTCTCTAGATGACAGTAATTCAGACACAATATCACTGTAATGTGATAAACTATAGAATGTCATCCTGATATTTTTTTTGTCATTTATTTGTTCTGAATCCCAATGAATAAAAACCTTCCAAACTTTGTTTCCAAGTTTGAAGACATTTCGCTTCCAGGAAGCTTTTTCAAATCAAAATGTCATTAATAGCGTTGAGTTCGAGGCTTTATACAGTAGCCCAACAAAGTCTTGCCTTTGCATAGAAAACATGGCAACACCTCTTTTCAGAGACATAGACAGGTATGGGGCATTGCAGGCTAACAAAGAAGCCAAACGACCCCCCTTTCAGAGGCATAGACAGGTATGGGGCATTGCAGGCTAACAAAGAAGCCAAACGACCCCCATTCCAAAGGGGTGGAATCCTTCGTCTGGTTCAAACTGTATGTTGTGTAAGGAAATAAAGTCCAGTGGTTTGTTTTTTGGCTTTTTTGGAATGACTATGACCTGGATGACTGAGAATCTCCTGACCAGCATATGCATTCCTTCCTTCTTCCTATTATTTTTCCCTAATTTACATCTTTCCGTCACACTTCAGAGCTCTCTTTCTCGCTGTCTGCCCAGATACACACACTGGATCTGTGCCGTCAGAGCTGGTTGGATAAGACATCTCTGCTCTCGCACATCACCAGGCAGAAGTACGGACAGCGTGGAGGCACGGGTATCCACTGCACTGCACTGCACCCGAGCTATTAATGGAAACCCAGCAGCTAAAAAAAGCCGACAAGCTAGGAATAATAAAACAGTCTTGAAGGCTGGAAATAGGCACACGCGCTCCAGTGAGTTACTCGTTCAGCTCCATGCCTTTTTATTAATAGCACCAAGTTTCTGAGGACACACTCAGAGAGGGGAGAAAAAAAAGAGTAACACACTGTATAGTCATAGGGAATTTATAAATTGTAGGGTTTATGGCATGAATGGAATAAGTAAATATGACCAGCAGTGCCATGGAACAGCCCGTGCTGTACACACTGGCGTCTGTCATGTTACTTGTTCCCCTAGGTGCTGTTTGCAACTTTTAATGAAAATAAAACTGCTTCAGCAGCTGTTTTTCTTTGGAAAGTTTAGCAAAAATCTGCAGAGGATTTTTATATACTTTTTGAATTGTGTAACAATATATATGTAGCACATCTCAGGTCATAACAGTGAGTGTTAACAGTTTTAAAATGCCTGGTCAAGCCAACTATAATAACTTTCTATAAATCTAATGTGACATTTAAATCGTAATGCCCTGCTAAAAAGAGGTTCTTCTACATCTCTATAAAGAGAGAAAGTCAGAGAGTCAAAGACTAATTGGGTTTGGAGTAGCAGTCGCTCTGTAAAAACTTAAGAAAAGCAACATATCAGTCTTATTATAATATTATGGTTTAAAATCTTTTAAAGCTAAAAGTGTCTGTTTAGCTGCTGACTGCAGCAACATGAGCAAATAGCCCATCTACTGTAAGTCATTAGGTTATCCAGCTACAGTGCATTAAAACAATACAGAAATACTATAGAAAGATCTGCTATCAGGAAAGTAAAACATATGTATTTTATTATTTTATGTATAGTACCATTAGTAAAATTAACTGCATTGAAAAAATATCTAATCACATTACGCATTGAAATATTTGTGCTCATGTCATGATATAATTTGTCTGTGGAGCTTTCACTCAAGCTAATCATAGGCCGCTTCTCAATAGGTGCAAAAACGTCTTCAGCTTCAGCCCAAGTACTGTTACAATTCACAAGAGCAAGAAGACTGAGAATGGACAATTCCCCGGATATCGTTTTCACCTCTCCCTTTTTACCCAGCATGCATCAGAGCAGACTTATCCGTTCTTGAGATTGACAGCTGTCCCAGCATGCACTGTAGGAAGCTCAGAGTATTAATTTAAAAGTTCTCTTATCTGTCGCTGTTGTTTTATAAAAATCTGTTTTTAGGCGAGAACATTATACTGTTAAGCTTCACTATATGGCCCATTTACTGATTCAGTGCGTAATAAACCGTGGCAACCAGCGGACCTCCGAGGCTAACCGCAGCCAGGGCTAACATTAGTCCATCTGCAGCAGCCCTCTCTCTGCATAGCCGTGTTTGAAGGACCGCTGGCTCTGATGGTGATTTTTTTGTTTTATTTGGCAAAATATTAGTTTGATTTGTGTTTATCCGATTGTGTTCATTATTATTCCCCCACTAAATGAAAAAAGTAAGAATTTATTATTATCTAGAGACTATTAATAACAGGAGGTGAAATGCAGCTCCATGTTGAGCCTGGTTCTGCCAGAGGTTTCTTCCCAACGGGGAGTTTTTCCTCTCTACTGTCACTTCATGCTTGCTCATCATGGACAGGTTCTCTCAACCTGTGTTATCCAACTGGACTTCCATCTTCCAGGTCCCTGAGTTAAGCTCTAGTATCAGCTCACGCAGTCCACTGGGTCTCCCCAAAAAGCTCAGCAGACCGTCTCGCTAACCAGCAGTCTACAGACTGACCAACTTCATCTATCTCCACTCCACCACCAGTTTCAGGCCTGTGGGGAAACAGCCCTGTTCTTTACTCCTGTCCATGTATATCAAAATTCAGCGCTATGTTTCCTGCCGAGGTCTGAGCGCCAAAGACTAAGTAATTGTATCTATACATTTCTTCTAATTGTCTTTCCTCTTCATGTGAGTTTTTTAGATTGAAATGCAAAGAGCGTTTTTAATTAAGAGCTATGGAGAAAGACCAGAACAAAACACCTTCATGACCCAAAGCTAATATTTTGAAAATGCCCTAAAGAAAATAGTTAAAGCAATAAAACTGTTGTTTCTCTTTATAGCTACACAAGTTTAAATTAAACTCTAATTAAACTAGCAACCTAAAGTAGCTCTAATAATTGGCTTATTTTGGCAACCTAAAAATTTGATCATTTTCAGAAAAGGATCAGAAATCATTTCTGAAATTTAAAAAGTTTATAATAGGAACCCCTAATGACTATTTATGGATTCACCCTCAGCATGTGCAACAGCATCGGCTCTGTCCTACAGCGGGTTGGGTGAAAGTCAAGGGTTTGTGGTTAGTTGTATTCTGAGTGAACAAGCGTCCGATAGTGTGGTTATATTTTGAACCACTGCTTGGACCACAGGCTAATATCTATTACTGGCACAGTTTCTGCAGTGGGAGTTAGTTCTCCTTTAGTTACTGTTCTGCTTTTTTCACCCTGTTGTTTTCTGAGAGAGGTCAATTAGAAACCACAGCAAGGCTAGGCGGTGGCAGCATTTTATTTTCCATTTGAAAGTGGAAGAGATCCCACATTGGCTGATAGTTTTTGATTGTAGAATGTAGGAACGCCAGTGAATGTGACATAAGCATTCCTCAAATCTCTTTTGCTGATTTAAAATTCTGATAATTATGAGAAGGTTTACTTTTCGTTTTGTCAGGCTGTCCTCTATAATGGTTTTAAGCAAGAGGGGAAGACAAACTAAGTCAGAGGCGTCTGCAGACAGACATCACGATGCCATCCTGTCTAAAAATCGTCCACAGGAAGGAAGTCATTTCTATAAGCGACGGCAACAGGGGAGCAAGCCAACGGGATAAAAAAAATAGAAAAAAGACAAGAAGTTTTGTCTCGCCATATAGAAAAGGACAAGACGGGTTATTTTAGCCTTTTAAAGCCATGACCAGCTTTTTATTTCCTAGTTATTCATGTCTCTATAAATGGAAGATATGAGTAAGTGTAAGAGCGCGGGAAGTAACCGCTTATGGTCTATGAAGCAGTTCTTTAAACACTGATGGCCAGAAACAGAGAGCTGTCAGTTGTACGAGGACTGACAGACTTTCTGTTGTCTCAGAAAAAAAATGGGTGCATAATTTCTCCACAGTTAAAAGCATTTTTCCCTTAAAAAAGCTTTTCTTGCTCAACTTAAAATAAATAAACAACTAAAATATTGATATTTAGAGTAAGAATGGGAGCAAAGTTTGAGATCAATCACTAGGATAGAGGCTGAGTAAATGAAGAGACAGCCTGATTCCTAAGGAAGCTTAAGTATGTTACTTTAAATTAATTCAACCATACTCTGAATAGAGGACAATTTACCATATCTTTCCTATACCAGTTTACTTTCTTTGGATTTCTTGTGTCTGTTAATAGTCCCAAATCAGTGGAAAACAACCCCTGCGTGTGCAAAAATCTTTTAAGATATGAGTTCTGAACAATAATTAACATAATGAGTTATTCCATCAACGCCAGATCCACTCACTTTTCGGCCTTCTCCCGGTCGTCCAGGAAAAACAGCGCCGTAGCCAGAAAAAACATGCCCCCCAGGACGATGATGAAGGGACACAGCATGAGGGCATAGCCCAAACTAAGGAACTTCCAGATTTCAGATGAAGCATAGCTCTTCTGGATCTCATCGGAGATCTGCAGACACAGACAGGGAAGAGAAGAGAGATTTTATTGGAACAGTTTTTCAAACACGATGACGGTTTTCTAATTTTTTGCAAACATTTGTCTCCAAATCATGGGAAGAGGTTGGAAGGCTAATAGTTAATGAGCGTAATGCAATCTGTCATACGTTGTGCTGAGGCAAACAACAGCTGAAGAAAAGTGGGTGTCAAGCAACCCGGATCACCCATAAGGTGTTCCCCTTGATGATCACATGCAGTCGGAGACTTCTAAGTTAACTGTGTGTGTGAGTCGGTGTGTTGGTTCTTTTCATCATAGTTTTAGCAAAAGGATAAAGCTAGAGTCACCAACAGGATATTGAAGGAGGTGAACCTGTTTGAGGAATACGTGCATGAGGAGCGATGCACATGCATGCCTAATTGAGAAAGAAAGGTTAAAATCCCAGTTGCAGCTGTGTGTGTGTGTGTGGCCCATTTCATCAGATACACTAAATTCAACTTGCACAGAGCAGCAAAACTAAAAATAAGCAACAGAAGTGCTGTTGGTGTAATTATCCTGCCAGAAGGTATTTCTTGGATGACTGTTGGGAGATTGTTTCTGGCATTCCTTTGCTACCACATATGTGGTCCCGTCCGCTAACAGCAGAGCGGCAGTCTGGGAACGGCTCCTCATGAGGGACAAAAGTTTGTGTTAAAGTGCAGATGAAGATGAGTCTTGACTTCTCATTTTTTCAGATATTAAAATACTCTATAGATGTTTTTTTGTTGTTGTTTTTTTTTTTTTAAATGAAGGGGGTAATTTTCTTTAGACATTCTGACTAAAAAGCAGCTTTGTTGATGTGGACGGTGGAGCTCCATATATCATCTTCAGGTCTGTTGGGTTCTAAAGTCCAAAACCCCAATGTGAGCCAAAATAACAGACTCTATCTCTCCTCTATGGTTGCTAAGTGATAACCACTTGCTTTTCCCTGCTATTCCCTTTTTTTGCCAATTCACAGTATTCCTGCCAATATGCATGGGCGACTACAGATCTGCCCCCACTCGGCGTGCGTCACGACCGCTCCATCATACTTGTGTGCTAAACCTCAGCTCAGGAGTCGATGCTGTGAGTCCTGACGCACTTCAAGCGTTCAGCAGGTCGTCAGCCTGGATTTTTGCGGAGGAGCGAGAACCTCGGAGCTTTCACAGTGTCAGTCACTGGAGGAGAGTCGTGACCGCCCAGGAGGGCGACTGGAGAGACAGACTGTGGGGCAATGTGGGAGTAATTCAGGGTGACATGGTCACTGTGCATTAATCTGACTCAAGACTTGCACTTGTTGAAAAAGTGGATGTATTATTCTATACGACTAATATAACAGTGCTTACACAGAGTACTATATTTATTTGATAGACCAGACTAAGGCTTTATATTTGAATTCAATGCAATTTGAAAATGTTAGCATGTCTTGGTATTCAATTAAATTTGGTTTATTTCTATAGCACCAATTTACAACACGTCATCTCAAGCCGCTTCACAGTTCAACCAGATCATACAGTCAAATTAACCAAAGTTTTCTAAGGAAAACCAGTTGATTGCATCGACTCATTGACTTGAAGGCAATCCCTCACACTAAGCATGCTTGTAGCGACAGTGGAGAGGAAAAACTCTCCTTTCACAGGAAGAAACCTCCAGCAGAACCAGGCTCAGTGTGAGCGACCATCTGCTGAGGCCGACTGGGGTTCAAGGAGACAGAAGCAGAGACAAAAAAAGCAACTGTAAAGGAGGCCCCGTCCAGGAAACACACAGCCAGGCAAGATGAGCTCTGATCCAGCTCCCATGTCAGAGGATGAAGAGAGCACATCCAGCCAGTCACAGTCAGAGAAACAGGATTACACTGAAAAACAGGCTGACCTCGAACATCTATATATATATTATATATATATTCAGGCCCCTTTGCTCTGAAACCCTAAACCTTCAGAAGTCACCTCATTTTTGGCTTTTCTTTGGGAGAAACTGGGAAGCAGGTCTGTTTCATTCGGAAGCTTTTTCTTGTCATAGTAGCTTCATTTGATCTGTTCCTGATTGGCTGTGAGCAGCCATAGATCAGCTGGACTTCTGCCGTTGACTAATACAATCATAGATGATAGAGGTGGGCCTGTTTTTCAGTGTTTAGTCCTGTATCTCTGCTAGACATAGCAATGGGTTCAGCTTTAACTGTGGCTAACTGGAGGTTCTCTTTTTCATGAAAACTGGCTCACAGCTCATCTAATTAGCAGTTTCTTTCCTAGACAGAGCCACCTGGAGACTAGTTTGGCATTAGCTTTTCTAGCATAGAAAGTATTTATGATCATTTTGTGTGTCTGCCTCTGTCTCCTTGAACCACAGAGGGCTGCAAACACTAAGCCTAGTTCTGCTGGAGGTCTCTTCTTTTTAAAAGAGCTTTTCCTCCTTGAATGCACACCTGATGTGAACGATTGCTGCAGAATCAATGACACAATACAAGCAAATATCTGCTCTATATGTTCATCCAGGAGGAATGAATCCTGAAAGGTCAGCTGGGTTTCCTTCTAACTAATCTGATCGGACTAAATTGTCCTGTAAAGTGACTTGAGATGACCTGTGTTTTGAACTGGTTCTATGTAAATAAACTCAATTGAATTGGAAGTAGGAGCAGTATTCTGGACCCCAACCTGTTCGCTGTTTTAAAAGACCCCAGAACCGATTGGTTTCACCTTCCAGCCGAACAATAATCTGAACCGTAAAGCCAGATCATCAGTGGACTGGTTAAAATCAAAACATTTTCATCTGTAAGAGGCTTCAAGTCTAAGTGCAGACCAAGTGTAATTATTTGGGAACTAACTTGAGCTTAAAGGTGTAGAGGATGATCTTTTATTTCCTGGGGATCATCTAAATAAGCATTATGGGATTTGCTGCATTGCAGCGACTAATAACAAAGATGGCGCAGGCATTGCGCAGTGGATGAGGAGTTCGGTGACCAATGGAGCAAAAAGAAGTGATCATCTGTCCGAACGGTCAGTTAACTGAGTTCACTATAAAGTCCACTATAGAGTCGCCGCTGTATCTGGACACAGTGAGCTTGTATGAGCTATGAGAACAGCACATTTTAAACAGGGCATTCACGAGGAGAAATGGACTTGTGCATGCTCTGGCATGCACATTTTTTTTTTTATGGAGAGGGTCTTTTAAAAAATCCTCCACAATACCATTAAAGTCTGATGCTAAACTGGCCAAATGTGGAATACCTTTGCAAGGTATTGTATATTAGTAATAATAGGACTATAATAGATCTGCATCTTTTTTGCTGCTTCTTTCTTTGCTTTTGACAATAGCTTAAGTTTTCCATTGAGGCTAGGAGGAACAGGAAGTCCAATGCAGCTCAGCAGACAGCTGCACCTGTCAGGTTCTGACAGAGGATCCTGGATCGCTTTGATTCACTTAATCAAACACTTCCTCCTCTTTTGTAAATGTAACTCAGACTGCGAGCCAGACTCAGAGTGATAAAACACATGAGGACAAAGCATCTATTCTCCTGATAGGATTTATGCTGATTTAAAATAGTGAATATGTGGTCAGAGTGTGAGGGTGCAGGAGAATGCAGCTCTTTCTCCTGCCTTTATTTATTATCAATCCAGAATGATTGGGGGTATGGGTGTGGGTGAGGTTACTATTTAAGTTAAGAAGCAGTCAGTCCCCCTTTAAAATGAGAAGAATGTGTTTTGACAGTCTGATGTGAATCCTGTTTCACACTTCATTTAATGCTGAGCAGCACTCTCACTCTGAATGCTTGGCTCTGGGTGTGTATGCGCCCAGTTTGAAGGGTGAGGAGCATTCACTGTTGTCAGGGGAGGCTGACGGTGACCTTGAGAGGCCCAGTAAGGACTACTCTCTCATCTCTTTATCAATCAAATAAAGTAACTGCAGCGTCTCCACAGAACCATGAGATTTACTAGAAAATATGGCTGATTGCCTTGAAAGCAGAGGTAGAAATCATAATGTCGTTCCCTGATTCCCCAGAGACGAGCGCTAAAAGCCCCTCCTGTGGCACACTTTGTGCTGGCCTAGTTAAAACCCAGAGCTCAGCTGGTACCATAACGTATGCGTTTACGTGTAAATGGTCTGCTAAAGGGCCATGTCCCACTTTTATAACATTTCTAAAAAAACAAAACAAAAAAACATTCAAGATCACATAGCTGGGAAAGGAGAGCCGGTGAGGGCGTCTTACCAGGCCTATCAGGTACGAACTCCCAGCATCACCCAGGAGATGAGAGATGAAGCTCTGAAAGGCAACGGCTGTTGCTCTCCGCGTGGGGATAACCACAAACTGCAGAGAGAGTAAAGAAAAATAAAATAAGGTGAGGAAGGTCAGACGAGCTGAGAGCAGCTGGTAGTTTGAGGTCAACCTGTCAGTAACCGGCTGTTTATCTGAAGGCTATCCCAGATGGAAAACCTTCTTTAAAAAAATGCTTTGTCTTTTGTTGTTTTGTTTTTCACAAACACAGACAATTTGATGCCATTAATTAAAACACATATTAAGTTTTAAAACCCATAGCTAAAAAATAGATTGAAATAAAGGATGAAGTTTTGATTCAAATAATTTTGATTTTGTTTCTGTATCCCTCCTCTTTTAGTCATTTTAGTTGTTCTGTTATGTGAACTTCTTTATGTCACATATTTAAGATCTTTTCTAAAATATTAATATTTATATACTGAAATGAGGGGGACCAGATGTCCCGATCATGGGTGCTTATAGACGCAGGGCAACGGGGGGCAAGGGCCCCAGTGGAACTAGTCTTTGCCCTGTTCTGAAAACATACAGTGCAAACATTTAAATGTTGGTACATTTTTCTTTAAATATGTGTAAATTACCTTCTTTGAGTATCAAAGTTAAACAATTTGCAAAATCTAATATGATTTATGTTTAATAAGCGTAATATGGGGAGTAGCGGCTTAGTGGTTAGGGCATAGAACTTGGAATACTGAGGTTCTAAGTTTGAAGCCCACTCCCACAGCAAGACCCTTAACCACTGATTGCTCCCCGGGGGCCCCACGATGGCAGCCCACTGCTCCCTAAGGGGATTGGTTAAATTCAGAGGTAAATTTCTCTAATGTGAGATCAATAAAGTTCAATTAAGGTCTTATTTTAAGAGAATATAATCTAATAATTATCTTTTAAGAGCAAAAACGCTTCCTTTTGCAGATCGTCACAAGAAGTTTCAAATTAAGGGTAAATACACTTATTTTAAGGATTTTTTTCACTTTATTAGATCAGTCTTTTTAGTGTAATGTTAAAGAGGAGCCTGTAACTGATTCTTCCCTTGAACAAATTTTAAATCATGCCTTTACAATTTACTTAAACAAGTATTTAGAATTTGCAATTAACTTTAAGCTTTAGTCGTACCAAGACAGGATTACAGTTTTCATGTAACCTTTGCTTTCTGGCTCAGTATGTTAATTGCTAATTGATTTTTTTTGTGTGTGTGTGTTATTCTTCTGTTCTTGGCCCCATGAACAACACTGGCCCCACCCTGGCCACTGCTGTAAATTTGATCTAGATCCCCCACTGTATGAATGGATTAGTTTGATCTTGATGTATTGTCAACCAAGATCTGGGTTTGAAAGTTAGCAATTGGCAAAACAATCCTGTAGCATTAGCTTAGGTTCTGTAGTTGAACTGATAAACTCAAAATACCGCATTTATTTCATTCAAACCTCTTAGATTTTCAGAATCTTTTATGTTGCAACCATAAATCTTTAATATGATTTTATTTTAAAAATTAATAATGGATAAACTTTGAAGTTTATCACAAATAAAAGTCAACTCTCCTGCAGGATTTAGTCTCATCCATCTTCCAATCAGCTCTGCCTAGCTTTCCTTATCCGGCTGAAGGAGCGTCAACATGATGATGCTGCTCATGTTCCAGCATGAGGTCAGCACATTAGCTGAAAGTTAAATTTGGTCAAATGAAGCTAAAATATTATAAATTAGGATTTTATCTGATTATTTTATCTCCGTCTGTGTGTTTACTGGGTCCTCTTCATGGCTGAAGGCATTTGCTAAAATGAACCATGCCTTCCTTCCTGCTACTCTTCTGCAGCGTCCTGCTGACAGATACTCCCACCTGAGCGGTGGATCTTTGCAGCTCTTCCGGAGTAGCCAAGGACTTATTTCTTAATTTCTCCATAACACCTTATTAGTTCAGATGTGCTGCCATGGTAACTGGTTGCATCGAGTTTTATTCATGGTTATCAGAGCAATGCTAAAACAGTTTTCAGATTTCCTTTCCTTAAAAAATAAACATATTTCCTTTTCATTTCAGGTTAAGAAAAGCTTCTTGTTGGAAACATAATATTAAACTGTTTAAGTTTGTGGCTCAGTGTGACGGAAAGTAAAATGGAAAGTCCCTCTGTTAGGGTCAGGCTTAGGCCATTACGACTCAATCATCAATTTACCAATGATTGTCCAACTTACCATTAAAATGTCTGCTGTAATGGCCCAGTTTAGGAAGAGCAGCGTCTCTCCAATGAAGATGCAAACCTAAATAAAAAGAGAGAAAAAAAAAGATTTAACAAACAGTTTTTGCTGACATGACCCTAAAAGAAGTAAAAAGAAAAAAACCCAGAGAAGATCTGGGATATATTTCTATCCTATGAGAGCTCGCTTCTGTAAAAATCTGCTTTGGTTAAAGTGGTTCAAAAACATGTCATTACACTGTAGGCCTGTATCCAGGCATTTACTGAAAACCAGCACAGGATGACAACAATCGCTTATTTTGGTCTCAGATCTTGGATGTGGAAACCACTACGGATAGGACAGTTTTTAGCGTTTAAAGTCATGTTGCTATAGAATAGGTAGAGGGAGAGTTCACTCTTCAGATAAGTTTCAGCTGCAGCTGCTTTTCCATAAACACACCTAGAGCGATTTGGTTGCAGTGGAATCTCATGTATCTGTACTGGCTGGTTTCATCTCAACCACTTTAACACGGCTGACTGATGTGTGTTTCCTGCTGGGGAATAACACCCCCCCGCCGCCATCAGTGTATCAGACCTACAGTACAGTACAGAGAGCGCTGACAGCCCGGGATGTCAGACAGTTCTGCTGTGAAGCAGGCGCTCTGACCGGCTCACCCCCTCAAAAGGAAAGGAGAGGCGGCAACAGCTGCAAGGGGCCGATCAGCCTCCGTGCAGCAGGTCCCAACCATATCACGCCGTATAATACCACACATCTGTTGGCTCTTTGCACTGAAACCAGAGACGCTCACTTACAACTGCAGATGATTTATTTCTGTACAGAAGAAGTGAAGTCACACACAGCGTGCTGTTTGTAATCATTCAGAGGCGAGCCAATTGATCCTGGAGTGATTAGCTGAATGTTGAACCTTTATCACACCTGATATCTATTTGGGTCCTTTAGAAGGAGGGGCAGCGTGCTGCTGTGACACAGCAAGGGTTTAAAATTGAGTTGGACAGACTTGTAACCATGAAATGAGTGTGGATCCTTCTGCAGCTCAGGTCTAATTGGCTGAGTCATGCTGCTGTCAAACACTTGATAAATGTGCACCTTCGACCCTAATAGGACTTCATAGAAACACTGACTTCGTTAAGTCTAAATTGTTACTCATTTCAGCACTTCTTTATATTTACTATGTAAAGTAGAAGTTGCAGGTTGACTGCAGCATATTTTCTACAAATATTTCTTACAAGCAGAAATCATAGCGGCATATCATTTTAGTGTTACCTAGGATTTTAATTTTAAGCTTTAATTAGAACGATTATGAGACAATCAAAGGTTATTTTTTCCCCAAAATGATATAAACGCCATTTCAAACAACTGGAATAACTCCAGGGAATCTGAACTTTTGGGAATTTTTTCAAATATCTTTAAAAAAATGTCAGATTTCCAGGAAGCTTAATTTTTCCCTTCTTCGGTTCTGATGTGTTCTGAATCAGCTTCTGTTTGAACAACGTTCATCAGTCCAACAGTTGATTTGAGTTGATGAAGAAACAAAAGGTCTCCTCATTTATTCCATATTGTAATAATATGCACCACAACTGGAATAAATTAGATGTTTTTATCTTTACAGTTTAACTTTAACAATCATTAAAATATTGAAGTTTGGTTCTTTTTAAAGGGGAACGCCGTTTGTTTTTTTTTTACATTGGTTTATGTGGGTTTAGTAGCTTTCAAAGCTGCAGTGAAGTCTGGATTTTTTTCACAGTAAATGGTGGTTTGTCGAGGCTTCACTTCACTTCAGATGGCATGGTTACATCTGTGCTGTCGAGGCTTTATGACACACGGCAGCTACAGTTATCGCTATACATGTTTGAGAAAGTAAGGCACTAGGGTTTAGTGTTCCTTTGAGAGAAATACCCCCATTTCCCCTCTAGATGACGGTAATTCATACATAATATCACTTTAATGTAAAAAACTATAAAGATCATCCTGATAGTTTTTTTTTTTCATTCATTTGTTCTAAACCCCAATGAATAAAAAACTGTTCACCAATTCAGTTGTGAAACAAAAAGAGAGGCGGGACTCTCTAAGGTCGGTCACGGCCTGCTTTTTAGGAAGTCTGTTTGTTCTGTTCTCTGACAACCATGGGAAAATATTTTCCAGAAATGCGCCACTAATACCAACCAGCACCTTGAGGGCCATTTCCTATTCCTTTGTAGCTGATAAGAATAAAAAGAACCCAGTATGCTTGGTCATTCCAGTGCATTGTTTTGAGGTTGAACCTCTTTTCCTGCAGCTCAAGGTGGTTAGCTGGAAAATGCCGTCCTAATCTGGTCATTAGATTGTTGTCTACAGACACCTGCGGTCGCTGCTCACTGACCCGGGGGTCTGACAGGAGCTGGTGTCCTTCTCGGTGTCCTCTTACAGCTTTATTCAAACATTAACCCCACCTCAGTGAGCAGAACTGTCACTGTCAGTGTTCAGCCCTCAAGGTGAAACACGCACCACAGTCTCAGTCTCAGGGATGAAGTTTCCTTCAAAGCAAACAGGAGATAAACTTACATAAGCTCCAATGATGCTGCTTTTGGCTACAACAAAGATGAGGCAGATGAAGATGGCAGAGCCCAGCATGCTGACGGCGCACACCAGTGGGTCGGCTCGCTCTGTCTTCTTGCGACAGAAGTGCGTGGTGGCGGCTCCGATGACCACACCCAGCAGGCCCGTCACACAGGTGATCGCTCCAAAGATCAGGCTGCAGGAAACGACCATTAATATCACTACACCTACTACTGCTGTACGTTAGTCCAATGACACTGCTGACTTCTCACCTGTCTTTGCTGCTGCAAACTTTTTTCGTGCAGGGTTCTACTGTCTTCTGCACCACCTGCGCTCGGTACAGGTAGATGGGAATCAGCATTCCGAACGCACCTGTGGCAAAGGACACTGCCGCCGATGCCAGAGATGAGAACACATAGCTCCGGCTGGACGAAGAGAAACAGAAACAAAACAGGAGTTACAAAACATCAGGGTTTCTTACTGCGCTGAAAAAAATTTAAACCTCTGCCTCGCCAAGTGGATTATTTACCTAAAACTAGATTTAATGCCAAACTGGATGCAAGGTACAAAGAAATAATATATTCCTGATGTTTGATGTAAACATTTCGATATTTTTGGGAAGCTTATTTTAGAAAATAGCTGTGAAAACTCCTAGAAAAAGAAAACTTTTTCTCAGGAATCAGAAAAAAATGTGGGTATTAAATCAGCTAGTGGGACAGCGATGACTTTAAGTTTCACTGTTAGGGGAATGGAATCAAAACAGACACTGTTTGGTGTAGAAGTTAAGAGAGGAAGATACAATTTTTTGCTTTTCTCTGCATCGCTGAGAGGAAAAAGTGTAAGAATGTCCAAGATAGGAAGTTGTACTCAGCAGACTTTATGGACTAACAATAATAAAAAAAAAGAAAGAAAGGAAACAAAAAAGAAAGGGGAGCGTTTGATTAGTGGTTAGAACAGTGCGCTTGTGCTCTGAGATGGTTGCAGGTACGCGGTTCAATCCCCACAGCCTTCACTCTGGGTTCCTGAGCAAGACCCTTAACCCCACACTGCTGGGGCTGCAGAGGTAAATTTCTCCAACGTGAGATCAATAAAGTTCCATTATTATCAATATTATTATTACATGAATTTTTCTGTTTTATGCTTGGGAATCGGCTGTAAATCCCAGCAATCTTTCCTTTGTTTTTTTTTCAAAAAAACTGAACAGTTAAGGTAAGGGTTACCTCCTGAATTAGAGTCAACTCTGATTTAAGTTTGCCTAGTTTTAAGAAATAATACTGAAAACCTTGAACCTGGGTGCACAGTAGCGAGCCTTACTTCTTAGCGAGGGCCTTCATGTCACTGATCCACGACGGCGAGGCCTTGATGCGTCCTTCCATCTGATCCGCACTGCCTCTCTTTGGCTCCGGCACAAAGAGCATAATCAGAGCGCTCACAATGATCCCCAGGAACGGGGACACCTGATGAGACAAGGAATCAATCGGTTAGTACACTTCATAGAGTCCCTCTGTGGGCTGTGATCGTGCTAACGTGGGGCACTGGGCGAGGTTTTTTTTTTCTAGGGGATGCAGGACAAAGAACAGTGTGTCTGCAGCCTGAATGCAGAGTCGCTGTTTGCTGATATGCCTCACATCCTATACAAGCCCTGCGCAGCTAAAACATTCCCGTGGCTCACTCTAGACCACTGTGTGTGTTCTAGAGTGGGTGTGGGCTGTGTACAGGAGACTAAATGAGCTTTTTGGCTTTGAAAGCTGCTTTGTGAGCAGGAGTAACTCTAGGTGCCCATCTGCTCTGATCTTTACTACCCTCCTTTCTGGCTCATAAGGTTGCAGGTTTGGACCTGTGTGAATCTGTGAGGAAGAGATATAAAGACAAGAAGGCGGGATGGGATGTATAAGAGGGGATTTGTCTGCGTAATCCAAGCTACTGACAAAGCAAAGGCAAAATGTGTGAGGGGAAAATAGCCTTAAGTGTTCAGTCGCTTGTTAAAGACCGACTGGTATATTTATAGGGGCTGTTAACATGCAGTGTGCATGTGTGAGGGTGTGGATATGTGTATATATAAGGCTTAAATTGCATTCTTTTCTAATTTAAGGAGCTGATTGCAACCCGACAAGGGTTACAATCACAAACATCTGCTATTTTCTTTCGTTTCTATTACCTTATATTTTTTCCTCATTTTACGTTATAAAACAAAGTAAAGAAGAAGAGATCTTAAAAATCCTAAAATACCAAAGACAACGAGGAAGAGAATAAACAAGATAAAATAATGATGTGACACAGTAATGATAGATTTCAGCTCTTGCCATAAGTTATGTGTCCCATTTTACCAAAAAGCCTCCCCCTTATTATTCTTTAGTTTTAATTTAAAGATCAAATGATCCATGCTTTTATTATTATTAACAATACCCTATACTGTTTGGTAGTAGGTGGATCCCTATAAAGCCATTGCATAGCTATATATTTTTTACCTCCCGTTATTGTACAATTTAGGATATATCTAATAGCTTTTGATATATTTAGGCCCTTAATTGCCCCAAGTTAAAAAGATAAGCAAGTAAATTCAAAATCCACCCTGACAGTCTGATGAAGCCTCTCCCAGAATGGCATGAGGACCAAACAACCCCCCCAAGGGTATGAGAGCGGTCTGCAGTTGTTTCTTAAATCCCTGCAGTAAAACATAGAGCTGGCGGTATGATGCTGTGGGCTTGCTTTTCTTCAGGAGGAAGCTGGGCAGATTTGATGATAGGAGCTATAGTTACAGAATGTACCTGCATAGAAACCTAAAAAAGACTTGAGATCGACGTGGACCTGTAGCTTCCAATGAAACCATTACATTTCAGCAAAGGTACTGTAGTAGCAGTTATCTTGTGAACTATAACTATAAAAATGAATGCCTGCCACATGTTTAGGATGGTTAACTAACGTTTTATTACATCCAAAGATATCAGTTATTCTCCGTCCTCTTCACAGACATTGCATTGATCTATTAAACATAAAGAGAGATAAGCTGAACGTTTTTCATGTGCAATACTTTTGAAAGCCCCTGTATGTCCATGAGCTTACTTGGTGGATTGTTTCATTTTTTTGCTTGTCCCTTCAGTTAATCAGTGAGACATCAGGAGTCTGTGACCTTTGACCTGCAATCCCACAGGACCCATTAAGCACTTCCTGTTTGACGTAGGCCAATCGCACAAATTAGCAACTCCCCCTCTCCTGCCTTTAATTTTTTTTTTTTAACAATTTTACTCCATTGACATTTCCAGGAAGGTAGCTGGAACACACCGGACAAAAACAAAGGGAAGTGCTGCTACCTTTTGTTTAAAAAAAAATCTTTGTTAAACAGGAAACGGCCACACAGAAAACGTTTCATGTCTCGGTATTTGCCTTCCTCTGCATGCCACACCGCTGATTAATCCGCTTTGAGATAGTTTGATTGGAATGTCATTGTGACTGCTTTGGAACAAACTCCCTCCTCTTTTACCGCCTCCTATGTTTGTTTTTATTTCTTTTTTAATGTCTCACAAAGTGAAAAACAAATGGACTTCCCGTCCCCTAAGCCGTCACGTCCAGGACAGCTTTCCACCTCGGACGTTCTGAGAATGTTAATGCCTTCCTTTAAATGTTGCTCTGTTTACCAGAATGGAAGGTCATAATTCGGTTTAACGATTTTAAAAGCCGACCCTGAAGTCGACGGTTCCTGGGGAGTCCCATTAGACCTTTCATTGGTCTTTTCCATTACAGAGCACTTCAGTTGGATGCATTAAGTTTCAGTGGATTCCCTCTGTGAAGTAAAAAAAATCTATGACAGTGATATATGCTCCATATTTAACACTAAAGTCCACAATTTATCTTATTTTCTCACCTTCTAATGTGAAGTTTTTCACTTTATTACATTTTTACCGTATTTGCAGCACCATAGATTTTTGTAACGAAATTAAAGCTCTATTTTCACATAAATAGATGTTAATCAAATATGATTATTCCTTATTTATAACATTTGGTTTGCAGGACAGATAATTTTAAATGGATTTGTTGTTAAAGGACCTAATGGTCAGCCATCTAGTAAACATGTTGCTGGAGATGATACAAGCCTAAATGGTTAAAAATGTACAATAATCTAAAATAATAGTTTGAAAACATATATAATGTAAGATATGGCTAATTCCCTTTAATGTAAACATGCATAATTAATAATCGGTTCGATGTCTCCGACTATGGAGCCGTTTCAGGTTGAAAACATGAAAAAACTTGATGGTAAAATCTTTGGAAGGAGGGTTGCACTAACGCTGATGATTGTGACAGTTGTTCAGCCTCTAACTTTCTGTTGTGTCTTTCCCCTGGAAAAGCGTGAAAATCCAGAAATATCCCCTGCTGTCTCTGTCCCCTCTGACCCCCAGATCCATAACAGTCCCCATGGCTAATCAGGGACTCTTCATCTGTATTTCTGGGCATGTTTTTGTGTTTGTTTTGTTCTGAACAGGGCTGCAGGCCCATAACAAAGAAGACAATAAACTTACCCTTAATGCCCAGTGCCAGTCCTCAGCAGCGTCCTTGGCACCGGAGCCCAGAATGTAACCCAAGCCACTGCAGGGTGGAGGGGGGTGGAAGGGGGGTGGGAAACAAACATAGTACATCAGTAACGATAACCCACTCCACTTAGTGCAAGCAACGTACAAAGAGCAATGAGTTAAACTGGGCCTGTCATTACCGCCACTTAAACATATGCCTGCGCTGCTCTCTTCCTGTCTGCTGTCTGAATGAAGCCATGGGATTCGACGTGTGAGCGATCAAAGCATCAGCAGTCAGTGGACTAGTTAGGCTATTTGTGGCTGAATAAACAGGCCATGGAATCAGAAACTGTGGCTGCAATACTGCCTCTTAACTACAGATTTAACATTAACACGGTTTCTTGGGCTGCATGCATTCTTATTTTTACGACACAGACCAGGACACAGCTGTTGGCATTCCACTTCAATAAATTCAATTCAGTTTATTTATTTTTTATTCTTATAAAGATTTGAAGAAACATTTATAGATAAATACATCATGTTATTCTTTTGCTCGAAACCCTGCAGTTTGGTCATGCAGTGTGAGCTTTAGCTGCGTGAAGCATTTGAAAAAAATCGTACAGTCTATGGCCGGCTAAAGCCTGATCCTCTAAGTTGTGGGTTTCCACAGGGGCATTACTGTTAGGACTTATTTAGTATTTGCATCAACAGCCATCTGGATTTCTGGTAGTTCTGCTGTACCACCAGGAGATGGCGCCAT